GAAATTTAGTAAATGTCCCCTACATCCAACCAAATAAAGAAGGAACATACTTTCCTAAACTGACTTGTTTGAATGATGATATACTGCCCCTTTCAGTATCTTATTAACTTTAAATGAGTACATATATAGATTCATGTTCAACAGGAAAATCCTACAAAGCATTTCATAAATGGCTTGGTTTCTCAGTGCACAGTAATTTGACATAGCATAAAAGGACAACCTATAATTACTTTAATATTAAGGTCAATTGGATTATTCTGTGTGCCCAACTAGGTATCTCAAACATGTGAAAGTTTTTAGTCCTTATCAGACCAAAACCTAGACAAAAATGTCATGACATAAGAACTGAAAAGATCAATGTCATTTTAAAAGTATGAATGTTACAATACTATAGTGCTGTTTATATATTTAAATTTTTAACAAGAAGCTAACTTCTTATCTTGTTAAAGGCAGGTTAATTTCTAGTCGCTAAAATGCATTTTCTTATCAAGTGGTATTTTTTATCAGCACAAATAAAGATCTTATAAGCAAGAAACTTAAGCTCAAATATGGTTATGAAAGTGATGCAAATAGTTTTATTGAAACCACATTAAGACTTCTTAATAACAAAGTGAATGCATCAATTCTCTCACATTCATGACTCACTGACACTAGAAAAACCAGTTCATGATCAGTTTACTCACTAAAGATTATTAAGAGGCTCTTTTTACATGTAGAAAGACAGTTTCAACACAGGCAAAAGAAAAGTGACATAGGTGATACAAATCCAAAGAATACTTTAAGATTGTGATTAAATAAAGAATTGAATAATGGCATTCTCTTGTAAAACCCTGGAAGACTTCAACTTATTTTACCCCCAAGAAATACAGCCTCAAGATTTATCTTAAAGCAATGCTTTAGAGCATCTAAATGTTTATTAAATGAATCCCTGGGCATAGTGGATTATCATCTTAGTATAACTCTAAATACAATAAAGTCAACTTAGCAATTCATCACTTACAGAATAGTTATTACATGCAAATACTGTTTGAAATACAGTAATGATACAAACACAGGTTACATTCAAGGAGTTTACGATCAAGTGTGAGAATGACACAGATACAAATGACTAGAGCCTTTCTCAACCAGAGTTACTCATCTGCATCACAGAAAACTGAAACTGACTTGAGCACTATTTTCTCAATTCCCTCAAAGAAGGCACATAACTAATACCATTCTAGATGGATATGATGGATGGCTTAGGCTGCATTAGGAGAAAAAAATCAAAAGGCAAACAAAGTGTAGAGGACCACACATCATGCTCCAAACTTTGTATTTTGTATTTAATCCTTTGAAAACTCTCAAATAGCTTTAAAGCACAAAAATAACATAATCAGACAAGTATTGTACAGCATTAGTACAGATGAAGAAAGAAAACTGGAAGCAAGAAGACCAGCTACAAGATTATAGAAATAATCTTAGCACTGGATGCCATAATGTCCTGAACTACACTAGGAACAGAAGGGATGAATAGTGAATGGACAGAGCCAAGAGTAGGAGAAGCACTTGTCTCCAAGGCTTTCATTCAGGATGATTGTGAAGACAGTGATATCATGAAACTGAGATATCAACATACATCTTCTTGCTAAGCTGTCACATAGTAGCTTAGCAAGAAGATGTATGTTGATATCTCAGTTCTCCAGTATATCCCATAGAATTTATCTTCCCCCCCCCCCCGCCAAGGACAATAAAAGATCAGATCAATGAATGAGCACAGTATATGTAACTTTATCAGCACAGACTTTTGCTCTGTTGAGAATCCCTGTAAATCTTCCAGTATAGTTCTTACTATAGGAATGATTCATCAATAAGTATCATCATGAAAAGATATCACCACTAACGCCTTACAACAGAGCAATTTATCCACAAACCAGCCTTTAGCCAAAGCTCTAAGGAAAAATTTCCTAAGAAAATGAATGACAAATTTTACATCATTGTCTAAAAGTGTTTAAAGAATTTAGAGAAAGAATTTACACAACAAGCATGTAAGATATTTTTCTAACTGGTCTTGGAATTAAACTTGGAATATGGGGACATGAATATGGGATGAAATACAGAAGTCACTTTAAGATTTCAAATGTATAATAGGTCTTCCCTACCTACTTCTCTCCCTCAAAAAAGCCTTGAATACCAAGTAGGTACTGGCACTATCAACTCAGACACACAACAATCTTTACCTTCAACCCAATCAAAGTTTATAAACCCTATTCTAAAATGTGTTAAAAATTTTTCATGGAAAACATGAATATGACTTATGTTTCCTTTTGTCCTATTAGAGATGATGTGGTCATACTATTGCTCATTTTTATTGTTTTATTGCTTGTTATTTATTCAACATCCCAAAGTAGGAAAATAAAACGGCCTATATAATGACTCTGAGATGGCAGGAATGTTTAGAATTATCTGAAACCCCTGAGGCAACTGTTCTGTAGAAAATGAGGAGTAGAACAGCATAACCAATAAAAGCAAAGCTTTAGTTGTCAGAGTCCTTGGTTTAGATTCCAGCTCCAATAGTTGTGAGCTTTGCTATGTCTCTATTTCTTTATCTATAAAGTAGGAATTAAACTATATAAATAATCCTGTAATTAAAATCAAATCAGGGCTTTTCATACCTGGCTGTCAACAAAATTACCTGGGAAACTTATTAGAAACATAATATCCTAGGCCCCATTCTATAGTTCTGGGGTGTGGTTCAGTAATTTTTATTTTTATACAAAAATGCATCTAAAAATGATCTTCATATACCAGTCACAAGTTGGAAGTCATGAAGGGAAAACTATGTATCTTATATAGTTTTATATACTCTTATTTAAATTATATATTTCTACATATACATAACTTACCAGTATTCTGATACACTCTAAATGTTCAATAAATGCTTGATGTAATTTTCAGTAATTATTTTTAAATAGATAAAACTCAGTATGTTGTAACAAGATGGCCCCTAAGTCATCTTGCAGAACTAGTTTACATAATTTTCTCACCCAAAATGGACTGAAAGAGTGGTACTACAGTTTCTGAAACACTGTGAAGTTGACACAAGAGAAATACCACACTGATGACAATGCTCCTTTTCACAGCCCAGTTTATGACAGAAGGAAAGCATAACGTCAGGCATGTCTTTTATTTTATTTTTAATAACAAAGGTCATTCCATCAAAAACCTTCCAACTAACTCATTCCTCATTTTTCAGTAATTCATACAATTTATTCAAATTCACCACAGAACAATTCAAGTGTCAAATAAATGAGTACAATAACATTAACCATAGCAACAAATATCTAAAACCCACAGAGATGAATATTATTAAAGATACCTGGCTCTTAGCTATTTATGAATAATAACTGCATCTTTCTTTAAACCCTAGAATTAATTAGCATTTCTAATTAAAGTAGCCTAATATATTATATCAAGCCCTTTTAAAAAAAATGTTCAACCATACTTTCCTATCACATAGTATATAATCAATATTATCTATAAGATTATATTCTTCTTATGGTTTTACTAAAAAACAACAAAGTTGTTTTTAAATGTAGTTTCCATTTAGTTTCTATCACACCACAAATGTAAGTAAGGTACATTTGGACACCACTATAAAAATAAAGATAAATGCTCTCTCTCCTAAATGTAGGTATTTATTATTAAAATAGTTACCACCAATAGAAGATTAAAGTGTATTATCCTATGACCTTATGAATTAAACTATATCTATTTACTGGATACTAATATTTTTATTATAAAATACTTTTTAGAGATTATTTTATATTGACACACAACTTGATTACTAATGTCTAAAAGTTAAAATATTTCAAAATAGTGTGTTTACCTAATTGAATCAAGTATTTAACCTCAGGTTTATTCCACCATATATACATTTTACAAAGATTATGGGGATCAATGATCTAATGCTAACAGATTGTGGCAAGTACTGAGAAAGAAACATGTTATGTAAATAAAGCTTAAAGAAAAGAAGTTGTTTTGGCCATTAAATTATAGGGCTTTACCATTTTCTTCTATCGAGTTTTAACCATTAATCCTACTGTATTAGAGAAACAAAGTTAAACAAAGAGATCCAGAGGCTGAGGTAATCTGATCTTAAGAGTTAAAACAGAAAAAACTAGAGTTTAAAAATGTCTCAAGCAAGTATAACCAAAAGTTATCAGCTTTGCTCAGCCTATAGAATATCAACTATTTAAAGTCCTTATAAAGCCCTGGACTAGAGCCAACAACTATCTATATGATAAAGAATGAGGAAAATTTCATGCATTTAATATGGCTACCCACCACAGCTATATTTTCAGATATATTCTGGCTCAGAGAAGTAAGAACCAAGGACATTAAAAAAAAAAAGGGGGGGGGAGGTTTATTTATTTTGCAAACAAAAATATATTTGGAACTGCCAACAATACATGATGAGAAATTCCCCCCAACAACATTTTTAGTGATATATCTTCCTGAAGCTTTTGTGAACCTCTCCTTTCCACACTTTCCTAGTTACCTTAAGGGGTCCCTATTCATGGTTAGAAGGATATTTTGGCAAGTAGTCTTAAAAAAGGCACAAAAATTTGGGAACAGAGGAGAGAATGGAAAGGGGAAAAAATGTTTTCCCTTCTCCATCATCAGTTACATCATAATAAACGAAGCAGGGTGAATCTCACACTGTAAAGTATTATGACAAGAAAAACAGGAATGGGGAAACCCTTCAATCTGGTCTACTCAACACGTAAGTGAGAAAAGTTTAGGACATAGCAAATTAGTAAGTTTGCAAAATTAGCTATATTTTTCCATGATAAAAAATATTCAATCGCTTCTCAGCCTTTTGGCTAAGATTAACTATAGAAATATTTAAAAAATTAACTCTAAAGGAAAACGAATTGTAACAAACTGGTGGATTTTATCACAGTAATACTCCTTTAAAATATGCAAGTTAAAGCAGCACAAAGTATGAGACAATAACTTACTTGAGTAGGAACAAGTACAGGAGGGTAGGCCATCTTATGATGTCTATACACCCAAAATGCACAGATAACGATCCCTGCAATTAACATAAGTGGCACCAAGGAGTAGAGCAAGATGTTGTAATATGGTGGCTTAGGTGTAACTGGATTCGAAGTAGCTGTGGAAAGGGAAGGAAAGAAACAACTCAGATTTGATCTACAAAATTTTATAATAAGTATTTATTGTAGGATCAAATTTTAAGAGAAAAATAAAAGTAGGAGAGGTAGGAGTAAATTATCCTATTAACACAAATATACTTCGTTTTCCATCTACTAAAGAAACCCAGGCATTTTCCCTGTGAACTTACGCTGTGTGACTTCCATCTCCGGAAAATAAGAAAACCTTTCATTACACATATTGCCTTCACAGCAACAAAAATATACTTCAGGGCTGTCTTTTTTCTCTATACAATCAGTCCTGCAAACAAAGAGAAATAATGAAAATGAACACTATATTACAACAGGTATTTTTCTCAAGTTCTTCTCAGAGATAAAATACTAAGTCATTTATAGTCAACTTTAATATCTTTATTAATATCCAATGATCAATTCTTAAAATTCAAAACTGTCCTTGGAATCCTGTTACTAAATCAGAATAAAACAAACAGCTGATTTTATAACAATCACATTGGCTCACTGACACTATTGCTTTAATGCAGGTTTGTTTTTTTAAAAATATTTTTTTTATTTTTTACAGAGAGGAAGAGAGAGGGATAGAAAGTTAGAAATATCAATGAAAGAGAATCACTGATCAGCTGCCTCTTGCACACCCCCTACTGGGGATGTACCTGCAACCAAGGTATATGCCCTTGACCGGAATTGAACCTGAGACCTTTCAGTCCGCAGGCCGATGCTCTATCCACTGAGCCAAACCGGTTTCTGCTCAGTTTTTAATGATCAATCTAAATAAACCATCTTTGTTTGTTTCATTATTAGAAAACTGAAAGAGGAACCTAAGTCAATGAATAAATTTGGTCTAGGAGTGCTTTTTCTCACAAGAAATATAGCTTGTCCATTTTAGGAATACAAACACTGAACACTATATATAAAACTATATCTGTGTACATATAAATACGTATGTATACACTCAAATACACAAATACAAAGTAATGCAAGTTCATTCCTCACAGTAGAATATATCTCAATATTAGAGACCAAATCAGGCCTTGGGAATTAAGTGCCTTTTTTTGTAGTAGCAGATTTAAATACCCTGAACACAATGAACAATAAGCAACAAGAACAATATGTAACAACAAACATAGAACCTAGTAACTCAAAAACTGATTCAAGGTAGGTTGATCTGGAGGAGAAGGCGGAGGCAGCCTTCTATAAAGAACCTAAGTTACCGAAAAGACCAGAAATTAGCCTGTTGAACAAATCCTAATCAATCACTAAGAAATAGCTATACAGTAGTTCCCCCAGCTATCCGCAGGGGAAAAGTTTCAAGACCCCAGTGGATGCTTGAAACCAAGGATAGTGCTGAACCTTACAGACACTGTGTTTTCCTTTATATTCATACCTATGATACAGTTTATTTTTTTTAATATATTTTATTGATTTTATACAGAGAGAAAGAGAGAGAGATACAGAGTTAGAAACATAGATGAGAGAGAGTCATCGATCAGCTGCCTTTTGCACACCCCCTACTGGGGATATTGCCCGCAACCAAGGTACATGCCCTTGACCGGAATAGAACCAGGGACCCTTCAGTCCCCAAGCCGACGCTCTGTCCACTGAGCCAAACCGGTTTCGACGATACAGTTTAATTTATAAATTAGGCACAATGTGAGATTAACAATAACTAATAAAATAGAACAATTATAACAATATACTGTAATAAAAGTTATTTAATAGTGGTTCCCCCCCCTCCATAATCAAAACACCTAAGTGACTAATGAGCAGGTAACATATACAACCTACATCCACTGAACAAAGCTATAATTCCAGTAGTGAGTAGGACAGCGAGAGATTTCTTTACAACACTCAAAACTGTTCACAATATCAAGTTATTTCTGGAATTTTCCATGCAATATTTTGGGGCCCAAAAATGACACTCTTAATTCCCATAGGTAACTGAAACCACGGAAAGCACCCCCAGCTGGTTTGCTTCAGTGGATAGAGTGTTGGCCTGCAGACAGAAAGATCCCAGGTTCAATTCCGATCAAGGGCACAAGCACAGGTTGCAGGCTCCATCCCCAGTAGGGGAATGCAGGAGGTAGCAGATCAATGATTCACTCTCATCGCTGATGTTTCTATCTCTCTCTCATTCTCCCTTCCTCTCTGAAATCAATAAAAATATATTTAAAAACAAAGCAAAACTGCAACTAAGGAAGGACTATTGTATCTATTTCTTCTCTTAAAAAAATCAAACATTTAAATATTGCTAACAAACATCAGGTAGCTTTAAAGACACGTTACAAATAAATTGAACTTTTAGGATGGCTATTAAAATAATAGGTTGAATTTAACTTTATAATGAAAAGCCCAAGATATTTCAGGTAGAATGCAGTCTAAAAAACCCAACTTTAAAACATAATTGATACCAACATCTGCTTAGGAGAAAGTAAAAGATAAATGACAGCTAAATTTTTAACAATTTAGCAAAAGAAATATCTATATCTATATGTATATATCTATCTATATATATAGATATATATATGTATATATATTTAATATTTAGTATTTAGAACATGCCTCAAACTATGGGAAGTAAATTAACCTAGCCTAATTACTTTTTGCCATCCAATTTCATTTTTCTTTTTATTACTCTTTTCTTCCACACTTTGACATTTCTTTAATCTTCTTTTTCTTTCTCCTACTTTTCTTATTTTCCTTATTATCTGTTTTTTAATCAAATTCGGAGCATAAAAACAAAATTTCACATACTTTTAAGTTAGCATCTAATCCCTAGAAACAGAGTCGGTGTAGTAATTATCCTGTAAGAACAAGCATTTGCACTGAAAAATCCGCACCCCATTATCAAGCTAAGTTTAACCTCCAGCAATACTGCTTTTAGATGAGAAGCACAGTATCTTTTTATTACAAAACACACACACACACTCACACTCACACACACACACACATACACACACACACAAACCACGAGAAGTCCTTGATCTCAATAATTAATGAAAGATAAGTTTGGATAAAGATAATTCCCAAATCTCATTTTCCCAGCAACTTCTTTCTACCTACCTTTAAAAAAAATTGATATATAATTAACATATAACATTGTATATTTTTCAGGTATGAAACAATCTATAATAATAAAAGCCTAAACAACCATTGCAATCTAATGGACAACGGACAGGTTGCTTGGGGTAACTAGGTCAGCGGGGGGCAATCAGACTGGCATGCAGAGCAGAAGCAGTGAGGGCAATCAGATCAGCAGGGAAAGGCAGTTGGGGGTGATCAGGCCAGCAGGGGACTAGTTAGGCTTGGCATGCAGGTGAGTGGTTAGGAGCCAGTGTCCAGGATTGTGAGAGGGATGTCTGACTGCCAGTTTAGGCCCAATCCTGAGCACATGCACATCCCCCAAGGGGTCCTGGATTGGAGAAGGTGCAGGCTGGGCTGAGGGGACCCTCCCCTCATGCATGAATTTCGTGAACTGGGCCTCTAATAATATGATATTTGTATAAACTATGAAATGATCACCATAATAAGGTTAGTTAACATCCATCACCAGAGTGATACAAATTTTTTTCCATGTGATGAGAACTTTTAAGATCTATCCTCTTTGCAACTTTCAAACACACAATGCAGTATTATTAACTATAGTCACCATGCTGTACATTACATTCTAGGACTAATATGTTTTATAACTGGAAGTTTGCAACATTTTTCCCCTTTCATCTATTTCACCCACCTCCTCCCCTCAGTCTCTTACAACTATGTTGTATCTATGAATTTTGGGTTGTCTTTTTGATTCATATATAAATGACATCATATGGGTTTTTATCCCCTCTGACTTATTTCACTTAGCATAATGCCATTAAGATTTATCCATGTGGTTTCAAATAGCAAGATTTCCTCCTTTTTATGGCTGATTTATATGCATACAATAGAATATTTTATGTTTTATATATTATATATATTATGCATGAAATATACATATTTTAATTTTAATTACATACACTTTCTTTATCCATTCATCTATCAGTAGACACATATTGCTTCCATATCTTGCTATTATAAATAATGCTACAATAAACATAAAGGTGCATGTATCTTTTCAATTGACGTTTTCATTTTGGGATAAATATCCAGAAGTAGAATTGCTGAAATGTAAGGTAGTTAAACTTTTTTAGGAAGCTCTATGCTTTTTTCTTAGTGGCCCTACTTACCTTTCATAATAGCAAATATTACTTAATGATCATCTCTGCTAATAGAAAGGCTAATAATTGAAATGCAGCTTAAATATATAATTATATAGAAGTAATCCCTTGAAAATTCACAGATTTAGAAGTATAACCTAAATAATACATATAAACCAAAATAACTATTTTAATAAAAAGTAGAGCTAATTCAATTTGTATGGTCTTATTCAATGCATTTTACTATTAATCACACATAGTCAATCAACCATAGAAGAGAAACCTAAAAGCAAAGAGGAAGTATCTCGTGTCCCACAAGTATATCAGTTTTAGGCTCCAAAAAGTCCAGTTATCTAGGACTTTGCAGCCTCTGCCAATCATCAGCACCTACCAGCCATGAAAAAATCCAGGCAGTTTAAGTGATCAGCCCAGCATCTATGGGACTCCTCACAGAAAGATCACTGACAGTCAATTACATGTCCACTGCATTTCATTGTCAATATAGAATAAAACAATTTAAACAAGATCTTTTGAATAAAATGTAGTTTTCTATGAGGACTGTGTTAGTTCTGATGTCATTCTGAATGTCAAGTTAAAATGTCTCTTGGGATAAAGAACAAAGGCCTACTTTGCAAGGGGAAAAGAAAAAGGAAAAAATGTAGTAAAATCAATTTCTTCTACATACATAAAAAAGAAACCTAAAAGCAAATTTAATATTTTATTATTTTTTTATTAAGCTTCCATCTCCTTTAGATTTTCAACAGATATATTCTCTTTTAAAGCAATTTTAAAAATCCTTTTTCCTTAAAATTGTCATTTAAAACAACAACAACACATTTATAATCCTAACAATATAAGGAAAGAAATATTTCTCATCTATACTTCTCACTTGGTCATTTATTTAAAGTATAGCGAAGAAAAAATATAAACATGTCACATTTATTTTAAATACATATCTTGTCATTAGAGAATCTCTGTATATAAAAGCCTAATATGTTAAATGTCTGACTGAGAGTTGACCAACCAGTTGCTACAATGTGCACTGACCACCTGGGGGCAGATGCTCTGACCGATAGGTTATCTTGCTGCTGGGGTCTGGCCGATTGGGACTGGGTGAGACGGGTCTGGACACGCCTGGGAGCCCTCCCACAGTATCTTCCCAGCCACTGGCTCCAATCAGGACTGGGTGAGAAGGCCCTGACCAGCCTGATCACCAGCCAGGCAGAGCGATCCCATCCATGCAGTAATTTGTGCACCAGGCCTCTAGCATTGTGATGGTCTTCATAATCCCATGTTTACAAAAAAGAAATAAAGTGAAAAATACATGCATTAATCTTTCCTTTAAAAATTATCCCATGCTATCATAAAAAAAGAAATGTTTCCTTACCTGTCATAGCAGTTGATATCATCCAGCCAACAACCTTGCTTCACTATTTCAATGGAACCAGAAATATTCTTCCAGGTAGCAAAACAATGTCTCCGTTTATCTTTGTCACCATAACAGGGTTCAAAACCAGTTCGATTGGTTTTATCTCTTTCCCAATTAGCATTATAGAAAATACACTCCTGAGTTTCTGATCTACCAAGTATAGCACCTATAAGATAATAAAACAATAACTTAATGTAACTACATTTTCTCTTAAAAGATTATCTCCCAATATACTATCTTCAGAAATTCTGAAAATGTCAATAATTTACTGTCTTACTAGTGTTATAACATTAGGCATAGGTTTCGAGGTCAATCACTGCATTTTAAGTGTAATAATCATAATAGGAAAAAGCAAAATACATATATCACAAGATTTCTCTGAAAAGATCAGTTTTACTTAAGAATGTGCTTGATGAAAAGCAGTAAAGTTGTTCATTTTATTAAATCTTAACCTTTAGAGTTCAATATTCTGTGTGACAAAATAGGAACTAAGGCACTTCTGCTGCATACTGAAAATGGTTACCTCAAGAAAAAACCCTTGCATAATTGAGTTTTGAAATAAACCAACCATGGTTATCTCAGACATAGTTATCTAGTAGAGTCTTAAAAGTGAATCAAGTAAACCAATTAAAGAAAAACAACTGACAGTATGCATAAAAAATTGGAGTTTTTACACAAAATTAAGAACTTTTGAAAATTTGTATCCACCACCATGAATTAGCATGACACCTTCCCAACACATAAAAGATTCTCTGATGAAACCAGTGATACTAACAAATTTACATTTAAATATTGAATAATGAAATGTGCCAATATTTAGAAGGTCTATATAATTCAGAAAACCAATGCTTTTCAAATGAACTATGTGTTATGTTACAAAAGCATTCAAGGGGAAAAATCTATTCAATGTTCAAGATAGCCCAATACAGTTTAATGGTACAGAGGACAAGAAGTTCATTAATGGTTTCAAAGCTTTCACTGTAACTAACTTTAGAGAAATTATCTCTTGTGTTATATGGGAAAGCAAGGAAACAAAAATATCCAAAATAATTCTTAAAAAAAAAAGGGTACCAAAGAGAATTCATGAAAATCTGATTTTAAGACACATTATAAACTTCAGCAATTATGACAGTACAATTTTAGTTAGAAAACAGACATATGCACCAATGAGACAAATAAAGAATCCAGAAATAGACCCACACATATATGACCAATTGATATACAGCCAATAAATGTCACTAGAGAAAACAAAGTCTTTTCAACAACTGATGCTAGAACAATTAGGCATCTATATACGAAAACAAAAATGATCTCAACTCATCTCTCACTCCATATGCAAAAGTTAATTATAAACAAATTACTGACCTAAAACTATGAAATTTCTAGAAAACAAGAGATGGAAAATCTTTGTAACTCTACCTTGTTTCCACATTTGATTCAATTTCTATAATTCCATAATTCATATTATGAATAATTTCATAGTTTTATCATTCACACTTAGCCCAGTTATAGTAAATCAGGAAGTTTAGTCAAGGAATCCAGCATTAGACTTAAATTAGATATTGCTCTACTTAACAAGTGCTTTCTATGCATCAATGACTAGTACTGAACTTTGTTTTTCCTATCATTAAAAAAAAAAATAAAAAAGCAGTATAAACGGCCTGAAATTTGGTAGACTATATGGCCAGAAAATAGACCTGCAAAAGTCATATTCAAATCTAAAATATTACCCCTATGAGGAAGAAGTAAATTTCATCTAATGTGACTAGCCTGAGGACACCATTTAGTTTTTTTAAAAAGCATAAAGTATTATAATAAAATACCAACACTAATTTTTATACAATCTCTTCCAGTAACAGAGAGGGATTACTTCACAACTAATTTTATGAGGCCAGTATTATCTTGATACCAAAAGCAGATAAAGATAGTACAAAAAAAAAGGGGGGGGGGGGGAGTAATACAGACTTGTATCTCTCATTAACTTAGATGTAAAAGTCTCCAACAAAATTTTAGCAAACAATCCAACAAGGTATTAATTTCTAGCTATTGCAATAAGGCAAGAAAAAAAAAAAAGGAAGGGAATACTGACTGGAAAAGAAGATATAAAATGTTTCAACTTTCAGATTGCATAACTGTATCTAAAAAGTCCCAAAGAGTCTTAAAACAAAATAATGCTAGAACTAGTGAGTTCACTAAGACCACAGGACACAAGATCAATACACAAAACTCAATTACATTTCTATCTACTGACAGAATGAAGAAATGAAATTGAAATTAAAAATGCAATACCAGTTAAAGTTGCTCCTAAGAAAATAAAATACTTAAATATAACTTAAGAGAACATGTATATATGTATATAATGCTACCCAATGAAAGAGTAATATGCAAATTAACCATCATTCAACTACACCCACCAGCAAGAGAGAATGCAAATTAGCCCCAACCAAGATGGCTGCCACCACAGAGAGAAGGAGGGAGGCTTGGGTTTCCCCAGAAATGGAGAAAGCCAAGCTTTCCACACACCCTGAATGGTCCAAGCCTCCACTCAAGGATATAAAGTTTCAATTAGAGAAGATAAATAAATCCCAACAGAAATGATTGCAGCCATGGAGTAAGAGGCTTGGCTCTACTCCAGGCTACAAAGTTTTAATTATAGAAGATAAATAAACCCCAGATAACAGGATCTCCACTTGGATCTCCGGGGCTGTGGCCAGCCTGCAAACCACCACAGGCCCCTTGCCCAGGCCACCCCACATCCCAAGGGAACCCCCACCCTGATCCAGGACACCCTTCAGGGCAAACCAGTTGGCCCCCACCCATGCACCAGGCCTCTATCCTATCTAATGAAAGAGTAATATGCAGATTGACCATCACTCCAACACACAAGATGGCTGCCCCCATGGGGTCAAAGATCCTGCTCCCATGTGGCCAGCAGAGCAGAGCAGGGAAGTTGAGAGGGACCAGGCCTGCAAGGGAGGGCAATTGTGGGTGATCAAGCTAGCAGGGGACGGCAGTTAGGAGGAATTAGGCCTGCAAGGGAGGGCAGTTGGGGACGATCAAGCCTGCAGGGGAATGCAGTTAGGAGTGACCAGGCTGGCAGAGGAGGGAAGTTGGGGGTGACCAGGCCTGCAAAGAATGGCAATAGGGGGGAACCCAGGCCTGCAGGGGATAGCAGCTGGGCGCGACCAGGACTTCAGGGAAGGGCAATTGGGGTGACCAGGCCTGCAGGGGAAGGCAGTCAGTGGCAAACAGACTGGGAAGTGGTTAGGGTGTGATCAGGCTGGCAGGCAGAAGCAGTTAGGGGCAACCAGGAAGGCAGGCAGGCGAGCAGTTGGGAGCCAGCAGTCCTGGATTGTGAGAGGGCAGTCAGACATCCCCTGAGGGGTCCCAGATTGAATAGGGTGCAGCCTGGATTGAGGGACATACACCACCTCCCCCCCCCCCCCCCCCCCCGTGCACTGGGGCCTCTAGTGAAGATTATAAAATGTTGATGGGAGAAATCAAAGACAAATACTTGGAAAGACATGCTGTGTTTATGGATTGATAATTCAACATAATAATTATGTCAATTTTCTCTAAACTTTGATCTGAACTGGATTAAACCTAAACATTTCTAGTTCATATCAGAATCTCAGCAATTTCCTTTTAAACATAAATAAATTTATCCTAAAAATTTGTGAGGAAGAATAAAGTGGGAGAAATAACTTTCTGATGGTAAGGCTTACCATATGTGTGGTACTGGCAGGACAGATACAAGATCAATGAAACAGAAAGAGAATCCAGAAACAGATCCATACAAATATGTCCAATTAATTTTTATAAATTATCAAAAGCAATTCAATGGAGGAAGGAGAGCCTTTTCAATAAATGATGCTGGAGCAATGGGACATGATTCAAATATTTTTCATGAATGCCCTCCCTTTGCTATCTATCATCATTCTAGTAGTTCCTAAAAGCCCAGCTCTCACATATGTGACAATTTCATGATTTTTCAAGGAAGATATAACAAAATTCTAATAAGTTCTTTAATTGGAACTTTTCCTTCCCCCAAAATGCACACTACTTACAATATTAATTTTTATTTTATTTTATTCACTGTTTTTAATTACCTGGCTATATATGTTCTTTTACATGTCAGAATGCCATTGGGTCCAAGACTATTTACTTGCCCTCCCAACACAAACAATAATTAATGAATAAAAACTGAATAAAAAACTTACCAACTACTACTACTCCCCATCCTCTGAAAAAGGTAGATGGAATTAAAATATATTTTACAATTAGAAATCACATTAATTTTTTTTCTAATTAAGATGACAATGTTTTTCACAGCCCTGTGACCAGCCTTACCCCCTCACAATTTTCTTACATATACAGCCAACAAACAAAAAGAATTGCCTGGACAACCTATAAATCTGTGTCTAGCTTCTGAAAAAGTATTCTAATGCTGTATGAAACTATAAATAAGGCATTGAGAATATAATATAAACAGGCATGCAACTGAATGCCTTCCCTAAACTTGTTACTCTCATATACAACTTAGTTCTACTTGAAAAAAAAATTCCCTTTCACGTCATTGCTTCCTGCCACTTAAGAGATAGAACACATGTCCAAAAAGAATCAGCTATGGAAGGAAGATCAAACTGAATGATGCATTTAATCCAAAACATTTTATACTATAAATAAAAAGCAAAACAATATAAAAAACAGTACACTAAAGAATAATTTTAGGTAAATTAAGTAATTGGGAAAGTCTGGTATAGTACAATCCTTCATGGCACCAAGAAACCCAAATATAAGTAAATATAAACAGCACTTTATTAGTTCATCATGAAGGATTCCCCAATTTTCCCCCAATGAGAAGATATTTAATTTTTTTTTTACCAAACTGAAATATAAACCTTTGTACATGTATACGAAACAACCCAGTGTATACTTATTTTAATTCATTAATTTAGTTTTATGTTTTTAAAATCAAAGCACAAAAATTTTACAAAACAGTTTTGTTCAAACTTCACATACATCTTTCAACAGGTGTCATCTCATTGCTTTCTTTTGAGACATCTAAAAGTATTGAAGTGTAAATAATCGTTACTTCCGTTTAAAATTTCTTAAGAAGCAATACCTTTTGTAGTCATATAGAATATGGTCACTGGAAATGTTTTT